TAATCTAGAGCTAGGTAGGGTAATTTAAAAATTATTTCATCGCACTGATATCACTCTAGTGGATCCCCACTGAAGTCGTTTTGAGCGAAAAAATGTACACCAAAAAATTTGTTGCTTACGAATTTGGCACACTGTTAGGTCCAATTTCTTTTCCAATTTGTGGTGTGCTATCACACAAATGGCGGAGCTACAGATTAACTCGGCCTTTAAACGGCAAACGATTTTTTATAAGAAACTTTTTAATGACAGAAATGACAGAGATTGTGGATTGCCATTTGCCGTTTTTAGAAATACCTACCGAACCTATTTACCTATCGAACCTTGTTCCTACCGAGTGATAGGATGTACCTCTAGATGCTTGCTTGACGCTCGTATTTACACGTTTTTTTTTTTTGGATTTCAAAATTGGATGCTGCAGTTTTTTCCCAAAATAGTTCCAAAATTTAACCGGGAGCGGTCAAGGACTGTCCGAATTGGATGGTCTTGAATTTTGAAATTTTGGCCAAACATTCCTTTTTTCGGATCCAATATAACTAATCACCTACTGCATCACAATCGTTGTTGTCAAGAGTGTACAGAGCCGCAACAAAGTCCTCAAGTAGCTCGCCGACAGCGCCTGGGATAAAGAAATGTTACTGGAATTGGCCGGCCGGTTCTGAACTATGCTGCGCGTGTTTGGTCGCCGTGGACTAGTTGGACATAGTCGACGAAGCTACAGACTTGGCAGAACGCCGCACTCCGGACAGCTACAGCATGCCTTCTAATGTCGTCTGAGCACTGCTCAGCAAGCAGTTTCTGGTGCGATGCCACAGAAGTGAGCACACCAATAGACCCTTGCTCGAGGAAGAGCCTCTGCTCAGGAATGTCAGAGAGTAGCTGTTCCTGCACTTGGACGCAGTCCAGACATACATTGACCAACCACTGGACACGACAACGTACCGACCAGTGGTCACTCGCATTCAGAGGGGGTCGGTCACCATCTACCACAACTTCTGGCCTATGAATGCCGTGATCGGAGCCCAATCACCACCTGTAGCAGACTCGGAGCTTCAACTGGCAAAAGAGACCCGCGCTACTCTGGCCAGTTACGGTCTGGATATTGTAGCCGTCTCAACAGCTACCTGTCCAGACTCGACCCCAATATCCTCAATGAGTGTTCGACATGTAGAGACTCTTCTCACGACACCAACAACCTCTTCACATGTCAGCTGAAATACATTCAACTAACAGCCTTCCCCTTTGGTCCGACCTCGTCGCAACTTCCCGTTTCTTGGAACTACCGTTAGTCGAACTTGACGACAACGACTGATGGACACACCGAAATTGGCATGGCTTAGTAGTGCCAATAGCAAGGAAAACTCTTCTTTTATACTTAAATATATGCATATGTTTTTATTTATAATCAAAACTAGTAACAAAATAAACTATTCTAGTTAATCACAGTTATTGAAAGCCTTTCTACCTTAAAATTACAAAAAAAAACATGGTCAGCTTCGCAGATACTGGTCAGCTATATACATATGTATATAGTACCTATACTGAAGTACTTATATTGAAAAGCTATTTGCGCTTGCTAAGTACTCTTGTCACTGGTGGGCTCTATTTACTCGCACGGCCTTTAACGAAGCCTTGCTTGGTAGTACCTTCTGGTTATTACTTTCGAATTCACATCTCATTATATGCGACTATTAATACTAAGTATACAATAATTAATCGAATAACATCTCGATTTATCTCGAAGAGAGTGACTCGGTGGTAAGGCTCTAGTTAGTTTGTGTGAGCAAATCAATAAATATTCTAGTTAACAACATATTTATTAAGCTTCAAAACTGCCAATTAGTGTATCGCCAGTGCTGCGTGGAAGATTCCCAAACGCGAAGCACATAGAATCAGAAGCGTTAAAAGTAAACTGAAACATCTCGCGCTCAGCGCTGTGGCACTACCGGTGCTGGGATCTGATGTGGCAGGCGCATTTGTAACACCATCTGTCGTACTGTTTCCGCTGTTATCCTCCGCATCGTCCTCATCGCTGTCCTTCGGCATAAAATCATGACACGTTGGGAAATTCTTTGGCGCTGATTTCATTTGATCATTGTCGCCAACTTTAAAAACCAGCGCCATGCCGATCTCAGCATGGAACTCGATGTGACAATGGAAGAGCCAAAAACCAGGATTATAGGCCTCGAAGCGAATGATAGTGTAACCACCGTCCGGCACGGTTACAGTGTCCTTGACCGGCGGTCTATCGAGGTTGCGTTTAAGTAAATTGTAGCGATCGAGCTGTTTGATCTGTAGGTAGAAAAAGAAACGCATTTAACTAACCGTGTTTGTTTCATTGAAATAGGTATATGAACTCACCATTTCGATTGTGACATTGCTGCCTAAGCGTTCTAGACCCACCACACGAAAGGCGTTGCCGTGCAAATGGAAGGGGTGATTGGCATCGAAAGTGAAACCTTCATCCACCAAGATAACTTCCACAACAGAGTTTAGCGGTACTTGCAACACATGATGGCACTGGCAGAATTCACTCCGGCAATCGATGCCCTGCTGCGCGAGGCTAGTGTCGTTGCAGAAGAGCGACTCGTCTACTTGATTGCGATCCGCCATCAAAGCCATTGGTGGGAACTTGAACGAGATGTGATTCAGTTGTGGCGTGTAAACCTTATTCGTCTTGCCCATGCTGTCGTTGAAGCTGTAGTAATTGGCTGGATGGAAGTCGGGATGGTCCTTGGCATAGAAATCATAGTAGACGAAAAATTTGTAATCTGCCACGGGTTTGAGTGCGTCACGATCCACACCTGGCATGGTGTCATAAATTGGCAACGCTGTCATCTCGGCCGCAGTCAATGAGTCGGGATATCCTGAACCGCGATTCATCGCATTCAATTCGATGCCCTCAGCTTTGTGTTGCCAACCCAGCACACCGCTTGGCTCATCCTCCGTTGCGCTCTCGTACCGCAATATGCCCACTTGGAAGGCGGATGTGAATTGATCGCTGCAGTCCATGAGCCCTTTGAAGCGTATCCAGTAGCTGCCGACGGGTTGATTCGCATTCAACACGAAGTCAAAGCGTTCACCGGCATAAGTGACTATCGAGCCAACTTCGAGTGGCTCAAAGTCATAGCCGTCCGAATGTATGGCCGTGAGCGTGTGATTATCAATGGACACCGCAATGGGGCAGTTCAGAAATTCGGCGTTGATGATGCGGAAGCGATAACGGAAGCCACGCTGCACATGATATGTTTGCAGCGGCATTTGATGTAAGAGAATCTCATCCACGGCGCGTTTCGAACGATGAGTGCCAGAGGTAGAAGTCGCCCCAGCAATGCTGTCAGTGCCTTCGGAATAATGGCCTGCAGGCTGCTGTGTTTCTTCCTTTGCAACGCGCGCTAAGCGTAAAACTTCATTGGTCTCTCGGAAGCGCATGATGTGGACGTTCGAATTGTTTACCGGATGTAGTAATTCAGTCTTCCAGTCGGGCAAATGTATTTGCGGCTGGTTTACTATATACGTTTCTGGACTCGTAGTAGTAGACGTAGAGGTTGTTGTTGGCTGCGGCGTTGGTGTGGGCACAGTGGCGCTCTTACTCTGCTTGGCTGCTGCGCTAGCTCTCGCTTCTTTCTTGGCTTGATCCCAAATGGCATAGTAGAAGCGTCCACGTCCATTCACCAATAAATTCACCGGCTTATTATCACCACGCGAATGATGATGCGATGCAAAAATGCTTACGCCCGGTGTATGCACCCAATCCTGCAGAATCATCTTGTGTTCGGACAAATCAAAATCATAAAGGTGTGCATGCGCTTCGTTTGCACGCGGCCGTCGCACAATCAGCGCGCCAAAGACGCCATCACCACGCTGCATGCCGGTATGTGAATGCCAGAAGTGTGTGCCTGGATTGTCGGCGCGAAAACGATAACGGAAGGTGGAATGCGGTGAGATCGGACACTGCGAGACGTGTGGCACGCCGTCCATATATGGATAATCGAGCATGTGCATGCCATGCCAGTGTATGGTAGTGCTATCGCCGAGCAGATGATTGCGTACGTCGGCGACAATCATGTCGCCATGGCATACTTCCATTGAGGGGCCTGGCATCATGCGATTCACCACCATAACACTCCGTTCAATGCCATCGCCGAGCACACAGTGTGGCCGCTCGCAGTCAGTGCCGTTCTGCGGACACGCGTAGCAAGCTTTCGACATAGTCTCATACCATTCAACCACGAAAGTGTAATGACAAGTCATCGGCGCTGCATTTGGTTGGCATTCGCGCGCACACGGATGATTGCGATAAAACTCCTCGGTCCAAATGTCACCATTCTCCTCGCGCAGTTCAACCGAAGCGGCGCTGTTGCGCGCCATATCCGCCTCCGTACCGCGACACTGCACGCAACAATCTTTCACAAACACCCGCTCTCGCGGACAATCTGCTGGTAGCGGCGCACATGTTTTTTCGTAAACATTTACGATTGGTGTGACGATGGAAGCTGCTGGCAGTGGCGCGCATTCGTACATCGTGCAGCCATCCGGACTGTGCCAAGTCTGACCCAGCTCGTAGACGGTGTCATTGAAGCGGCACTTGGTGCGTACACATTCACCACAGCAGCTGCCCGGTTGCGAACGTAACTCCGAATCCTACATAGAAGGAGAGTGAGAGAGAGAACGAGAAAACGAAATATAAGTGCTCATGCCCTCACTGGCCATTAACTTAACGCTTAACACTTACCACATCGCAATAGAACTGTCCACAATCGACCTTCGTGATAGTCTCTCGCGGCACACCGCTAGCATCTAGTTCGCAAGCGTGCACGTCGCATGCATCGTGTGAGGAAATCCAAACAGCGCCAATATCACGCGTCTCCTGCATATCGTCTATAAGGACCGAACACTTGGTATCTTGCGACGCTGGAAGTAGAGAAAAGGCAATTTGAATAATTTCTAATAGTTGAAGGGAATCAAAAAGTGCAAAAAAGGGCGGAGATGAAATGCTTCGCAAAAAGCTTGACCTCAGTGTAAAGATTTGCTTAATCTTTTCACTATCTTTGCGCGGTGTCATTCGCAGCCATTTAATAACTGACCGGCTAAAATATTACCCCAACACCTTCGCTTTGATGTCCTTATTGAGATCTTTTAATTTATAATGAACTTTCTTAGATTGCGCTCACATGGAAGTGTAGGTGGCACCTCTATAACAAATTTGTCTAAACTAAAGTTGTATGTCAGAAAGCACTAGCTACTAATTGCCCCGTTTTATCGGCAAACTTTTTCTTAGCCCCATTTATGACATTTTAAATTAGTTGGCAACCCTATCGTCTGGCCAGATTTTTATGCTGGCCATTTTTTAGAACAACACTTTTGCGATGGTGGCAACCGTGATTAACCGAAATTTTTTGGAAAACGCGCTGAAAACAGCAGTTTTATAAGTTTTAATTGGGTGGCAACCTTGTTGCCTTCCCCCATCTTTTTCTTAAAAAAAAAAAAAAACAACCAACAAGCAATGCTCAATAACATTTGTAAAAGTAAATATCATTACACCAAAATAATAATAATAAATAATAAAACTATTTCGTATTTTTAGTTAGATAGAAACCCTTTTTTTTTTGTCGGGACCAGGCACAAAACAACGCGTACAGAAAACAGGAAACCCTACTGAGAGCACAATTTTTTTTTGAAAAGTTTTCAATCCAACACCAACAGTTGCGCAATTTTTTTTCTGAAGTCTTATGCCGGATTTCCACTGGGCATTAATTGACACAGATTATAAAGATAAAGTTGGGCATCAAAAAATTCCGCATCATTACGTCAACATTAATTGCCATTAAATATGTTTCCACAAGGCATATTTTAAATGACAAAATTTTTTCGTCATTTCAATTCCTAGCGGAAATTCGGCATTATTCACAGCAGTAATTTTTGCAATTTTTAATGAGGTGGTAACCCTTTACAAATTTCCAGTTAAATTTTTATTTTATTTTATTTGGGTGCTTATCTATCTATCTAATTTTTTTAGTACACTTCTTCCAGAGCTGTAATCCATCTTAATTCATTTCATATTTTTGGATGATAGCTTTACTGATTGCTGCGATTTTCCTTATAAAAATGATTCGATGGCAATAATCTGTTCATACTTAGTTAGTTGGCCACCGTAAATATATTCAGATTATTTTAACAAATTTCCAAAAATTTTTTAGTACTAAACCCTAGTAATTTGTCCAATTTTTATAAATAAAAATAATTTTTGGGCAATATTTTTGTATTTTTTAACCGACTTCACAAAAAGGAGAAGGTTATCAATTCATCGGAATATTTTTTTATTCCTCTTTTTTTTTGTATGTTACCGCCTTACTTTGGACCACGTTAACCGATTACTATAATTATTTTTTTTTTTAAATGAAAGTTATTACCTCTCAAGTGGTTCCATTACTAATTTGGTTTAAATCCGATCATTGGATCATGAAGAAATTAACGATAATCTGAAATTTTTATATGATAATTGAAGTCGGTTTGGTTTTTTCTTTACAAATTATCTAATTGTTTGTATTTGATGTTGATTTTTAAAATTTTCTAGGCCCTAATTCTTACTTTCCTAAAATAGTTAAGCATTGTCAACATTGATAAAAATTACTTATAAAAAAGTCCCGAAAAAAGCCACGCAGCTTGACCTAAACTACCGAGGCTAGAGCAAAAATAAAATTGGTAAGTCTGGTCACACTGTTCAACAATCTGGACCACCTAAATCAATGTAAATTCAGTTTGTATTGATTTAAACTTTTGTAAGTAAAACATTTGCTAAGCCAGCGGGTTCAGCAGCCTAGTGTTCGTGCTTTAACGCTTGAGACGTGATAGTGTCAAGTTCGACTTATGAACAAAAAAAAACAATAAAAAGGCTGCGCAAAAATGCAAATTCAACAAAACCTTTTCCAAAAAAAAAACAATAATAAATAAATTAAAACAAAATGTATTCCTCCCTTAATTGTCCGCTTTGTCGCACGAAAAAAACATGGAAAAAGCCAAACAGCACAATTCAATCCAAATCATTTGAACCGCGCAAGTCACGATCAATTTAAATATTTGGCATTAAATATTAGCAAAAACAAAAAATATGCATTTCATCGTAATTAACATTAACGACATACCCAAGCGCATTGTGTCCGTGAGCAGGTGTAAAAAATCCAGATTGCAAAAGAATCTAATTTACTAATAGCCGCCATAAAATATGAGCTCTAACAATTCACTACCTACCAACCTAGGTATGTATGTAAGTGAAATGTCTATAAAAGATAGGCAATAAATCTTGCATTGTGTTTTGCAATATGCAAGGTGTAGGTCTGGTGTTGCATTGTTGTTTTTTTGTTTTTTTTTTGTTTGCATGTAATTGTTTAACGAACGGCCAAACGGAACTCACAGGCTCGGTTGGTGGTTGGTGGGGAAAGTTTCAGCGCTAAGGTGCAAAAAGGCAAAAGCTAAACAAAAAAAAAAAAACAAATAAGCAAAACAAGTTGTCTAAAGAATTTAGGTGATTGCGCGCACGTAGCCATCAAACGGTGATGGTGTTACTGACACTGACGTCAACACAAATGGTGCATGTAATCAGCGAATGCTCCCGGAACTATGAACAAACCTAATTACATTCCAATCTATGCTGGTATCCAAGTCAAATGGACATTCGCGCCATTCGATGACAACCCCCAAACTGGTTTCATTAGCTAGTTTTAGTACTTAGTAGTAATTCAGTGCTTGATTAGCTATTCTATTTAGTTCGCTTTATTTGTTGTTTGGCCGATTTTTTGCCTGTAGACAGCTGTCGCTTTCATTGCTTAATAATATATAGCCTGTTGAGAAGTGCTAGCAACGCGCAAATGAACTGAGTGCCTTAACGCATGCGTTTTCGTTAATACATACATATGTATGCACAACATTGGGGGCGGCTAATTGCTTGTGGTTTGGCATCATTTTATGACTGAAATTAATTTTATTGTATTTTAACTTCATTAGCGTTTAATTATGCATGTTTGTATGTTTGCCTTGATCTGCGCGCTACAGTACTTAGAGTACCGTGTGTGCGCGTCCCAACGTAGTTGAAAGCCAGCCTCCACGTGCCGCATTTGCGATTTGAGCATTCTATTTTTACTTAGGCAAAAAAAAAAAAACCCCAAAAAATTTATTAAAAGCGAAATCGCATAAAAATTACAACGTGATCTTTTTAATGGCATTTGCATATTCAACACCTAGTTTTTTCTTTATTTTTTTTTTTCAATGAAATATTCTATATGATCAATTGGAGGTGGATTCGCATTAAGTATGCTGCTGATTTTCATAAAGAAAAAAGTACGCGAAATAGGGTTAAGCATAGTGGGGAAAGTGAAAGAGCTCCTCTCCGAAATAAATTTGTGTTTCCCATACTGCGATTAGATACGAAGATTAGAGCTGATTTTCACCGCAGGAATACCGCTACAAAGTTGAGCAGTCACAGACCTCCAGTATCCAGTTATAAGCAAGAGTTGTCAATTATTGTATTGTTTTTAGATGTTTCACATGGACCGGCGCGTCTCGATATTAGATGAGAGAAGTTTAAGAAAGTTTTATTTCGAACATATTTTTAAACAGTTTTGCTACCTTTCCAGAAATTCAAAATCAATTTGATCAATAAGTCAAATGAAATGTTTAAATATGAGTATCCAATGGCAGAGGTTCCAAAAAGTTTTATTTTTTATTTCAAAAGTATTTGGAAGAGTGTTGCCGCCCTGTTCAAAACTTCAAAATAAATTAAATTGTTAAGTTAAATCACACCCTTAAATATGCTTACCAAATTCGAAAAGTTTAAGCAAGTTTTATTTCGAAATTATTTTTAAACAGGGATGCCAGCTGTTCAGAAATTCAAAATCAATTTGAGCAATAAGTTAAGTGAAATATTTTGATATCAGTATCCAATGGCAGAGGTTCAAGAAGATTTTATTTAAAAAGTTTTTGGAAGAGCGTTACCACTTGTTCAAAACTTTATGGATAACAATTGCGAAAAGTTTAGGAAAGTTTTATTTCGAGAATATTTTTAATATATATGTATAAGAGGGTTGCCACTTGTTTAGTAAATTAAAATACATTTTTTTTATCTACATATGTACATACATACACAGGTGTCAATAGGAATAAGTTTAAGAAGGCTTTGTTTGTTTATTTATATTTTTGAAGAAGGTTGCCAACTATTGAAAAAATTCCGAATGAATTTAACTACAACGAAGACTGAGTTGCTCTACATAAACATTCACCGTATTCTGAAATATTTGAATATCGGGAATGGCTCGATTAAGAAAACCGTCTGAGGATGAGGCTCCAAGGGGCGTGGCTGTTACATTTTTTAGATGATAAGTATTGATTTTTGATTTTTATGCAAAGTATTTTCTATTAGAGATTTATCTCTGATATGCGTGCCTGCCTAGTATGACTTCCAGGGACTTTATTACTGGCTGTAAGGAGTATTATTTCGGCCTTTTTCTGAGTTGACTCGAAGACCGCATCACTCATCCCACCCACCGGGTTTTTCCTACACAGTTTCTACTCAAATTACCCCCTGGTTGAGTTTGAGTTGTACTGAGTAATAAAGTGCCGAATGCACTCCACCCTGAAGCGTGGGCCTACTAACGTTTACCGTTCCATTTTTGTACCCGCAATCAAAACTGATTGTGCTCATTATGCCCGCAAGTGTCTTTATGAATAGTAGCTAATTAATCGTTAATCCAGTCAGTATCTACATACATACATGCTATTGAATAGATAAAAATTGTATGTCTATAAATTTGCCTGATTGACTTTTATTGCTTGCCTTTGAAAAATTATTTGCTCAACAATTTCGAATAGTTCGTTTTGTTTTTATTTTTGCGGGTCATAAACTAAACTGTGACAACTGT